AATGCTATTGGTAAATTATAATAATAATAATAAAAATTTTAGATTTTTATCTTCAAAATTAATTATTAAAGGTATATAAAAAGACACTTAATTATGCTTATAGATGGGATAACCTAAAGCAGTAAGTGTTAATTTTACATTCAATTTTTATATATTTATTTATATTCATAATAAAGATAATGTGTGCAGTTGAAAAATATTGTTTAGATCAAGCAACAAATACTTGCTAGTTAATCAATACAAAAAATGGGATGTGTATTGATAAAAATGGCTTTTGTGTATAAAATGGATCCTGTTTTAATTGTGAATTAAATTAATGCTTGTCTCAATCTAATAAAAATACATGTTAAGACCTTTTATAACCATCAATTACGTATTGCAAGGATAGCTAAGGTTGATTTTATTATAGATTATAAAAATGATATTTTCAAATTTAATTAAAAAGCATTAAATTTTAGTAAGTAGATAATTTTTTACCAAATTACCAAATAAAATTTTTTATCTAAATATTTTAATTAATTTATAAAATAACTTTATTTATCTAAAAATTAGGATTTTGTTAAAATCTAGATTCTGGCCTTTGCGATATCTGTCCTGATAATTATTGCTTTATTAATAAATTATGTTTAAATTATAAAAGTTTATTAAAGTTAATAAATAACGGATAGTGTTTTGAACAAATCAAAAAGTTAAAAACCTGTGTAATTTAAAATTTAAATGTACCAAACTAGAATGGAAATATGAATTGTATGAATAATTAAAGCTTTTGTTAAGATATATCAATTAATAATAATGAATGTTTATCTTGTCCTATGTACTTTATAAATCCAGGAGATTAAAAATGTTATAGTTTAGAATAAAAGTTAGAGCATTCACCTGATTCTTAATAAGTATACTTTGGAATGTAGTTGATTTATGTTAAATAAGACTGTTATGATTAAAATTTCTGCCTGGTAAATTAATCTCTCAAGTGTCCATAAGGGTATTATTATTATTATTATTATTTTTAAATTTACATTAAATTTATTATGTTAAATATAATAATTTAAAAATAAATTAGTTGTTATTCATGCAACTCTCTTTCTTTCTGTACTTAATGCATTGAAGGTTATTTTTTATACCAAGAATAGCAAACAAAATCAGTTTGCATAAAATGCTTCAACCACATAACCTCCTAAATTAGGATTA